TTTTTTTTTTTTTTTTTTTTTTTTTTTTTTTTTCATCATCGTTGATTCGCGAAAGTAAAGCGTGTACGTCTCTGTACGTAACGTTTCGAAGTTTCGTAAAGATAACTGTTAACAGGAGCGAAAAGAGCTAAAGATACACGCATGTAAATTGTATGTAAGTATGAACGTATCGAGGGTATATACGTATCGTATGTATTACGTAGGGGATCTCGCTGTGGAGAGCGAGAAGCGCTCTCGAGAGATGTCTTTTCATCGTTTGCGCGGGCCTCCTGTTGATGGTGATGATGCTCTCTATAGTGATCAGCAGCAAGAACGGTTGGGACGAAGCACAGATACTTCACGTTACTTCCCATGGAGAAAGTAAGAGGTGGAACGCGGTTCCAAAGTCGCGATTTTTAATTTTATGCAAATCACAAAGATAAGAATTTATCGATTCGGAGTGTGGCGGTGGTCCATGTGTTTGTTTCAGATGGTACACATTGTTTAACCGAGCACTGCATCACGATAGCCGCTTCCATTATAAACAGCATAGATCGTTCGGTCGATCCATGCGACGATTTTTACGAATACGCGTGCGGCGGTTGGATCAAGAAGAATCCTATACCGGATGGGAACAGCATGTGGGGAACGTTCGACAAGTTCGAGCAAGAAAATCAGCTAATTGTGAAAAATGTCCTTGGTAAAAGAGGGGAAAATCCTTGGTAGAATCCTTCTTGGTATTCTCGGTGGTTGTTAAAATTTATCCGTTATTAAATTAGGATCGATCTTTTCCGTTTTCTTCTCTCCCGCTACACGCACCCTCCCCTCTCCCTCCCACTCCCCTCGTTTCTTCATTTCTCATACTTTTTCTCTTATCTATAGAGAAACCATTGGTCGAGATGAAATCAAAGGCCGAGAAAAAAGCAAAGTATTATTTTCTCTCGTGTATGGACGCGAACGATACGATCGAAACGCTCGGTGCGAAACCGATGTTGGACTTGTTGGATACTATCGGTGGATGGAACGTTTCTGGCAAATTCAATATAAGCGAATGGTCTTTGCAGAACAGTATGCATATTCTGCAAAATGTTTACAACATGGATGGTTTATTTACATGGGCGGTAAACGAAGATGATCGAAATAGTAGCAGACACATTATACAAGTAAGAAACGAAGATGGATATTTCGAAAGTGAAGCGAGAACAACGTTCGAACAATTTTTTTTTAAAAAAAAAAAAAAAACCGATTTCTTCGACTTTCAAGATCGATCAGGGAGGTTTAACGCTGCCAACCGTTGACGATTATCTCAACATCACCGAACACGGTAAAGTGTTGGCTGCTTATTTGGAATACATGACAAAGGTACACGCAACGCGAATGATTATCGTTTCGTTTATCTCGTCCATTTCGTCCTGTTTCTCGCAAATCGGCGAATCAGCGAGTATATACAGGTAGCTTCGTACACGTTTGCAGATCGGCGAGCTGTTAGGCGGAGAGAAGAACTCGACGAGGAAACAGATGCAGGATGTGATACAGTTCGAAACGAAATTAGCGCGGATCATGACGTTACCCGAGAATCGTCGGGATAAAGAGAAGCTTTACAATTTGATGTCGTTGAACGAACTTCAACGTAAAGCTCCTTTCGTAAGTACACAAGTAGAGCCGCGTGAATCCGCGTGGTATCGGTCGACCTACGTCTTTTTCACCTTCGATATTATAAAAAGTATAATAGCACTAGGGTATAGGTATAGGTAGGTGGATAGATAGATAGATAGGTAGGTGGAGATCGTAGATAGATCGAATATCACCGTCCTATAATCGAGGATTCGCTTAATTTTTAGATGTCGTGGGTAGACTATTTTAAAAATGCGACGCGCATCATTAACAAGAAGATCAACGACAAGATGATGATCGTGAACTTTGCCCCGGAATATTTTATCAAATTGTCCGACCTGGTATTAGACTACAACAAAACGAACGAAGGAAAAGTGTAAGTTTCCTTCCCTCCTTCCTCCTTTCCTCCCCCGTCGAAATTCGAGCATATTGCATCTGTTTATCCCGTGCATCCTCTCTCTCTCTCTTTCTCTCTCTCTCTCTCTCTCTCTCTTTACTTTTTTCCCCTCTCGTACCTTTCTTCCCTTTTTTTTTACTTTTTCTCTTTCTCTTTCTCTTTTCTCCCAAACAGGGTACTGAATAATTATCTGGTTTGGCAAACGGTGAAATCTCTAACCACCTGCCTGTCGAAACCGTTTCGCGACGCTTACAAGGGCCTGAGGAAAGCTTTGATCGGTTTGGAAGGCCAGGAGCAGCAATGGCGTTATTGCGTCAGCGATACGCATAACGCGATGGGTTTTGCGATCGGTGCCATGTTCGTTAGAGAAGTTTTCCATGGAAAGAGCAAACCCATGGTTAATTTACACTCACTTATATACTTTTCGATAATGATAATAATAATAATAATAATAATAATAATAATAATAGTAACATTAATAATAATAAAAATAAATTACACACGTGCTCTCCGTCTCTCCCTATTTTCGTTTGGGAGCACGTTGACGAGCGAATTCGACTTTAAATCGCGATCAAATCGATTTTCCAGGCGGAGAAGATGATCGACCAAATACGAAAAGCTTTCACCAAGAATTTGAAGAATCTGGATTGGATGGATCCGAAAACGAGACGGGCAGCCGAGGAGAAAGCGAACGCGATTACCGACATGGTCGGTTTCCCCAATTTTATCTTGAACCCGAACGAGCTCGACGAGCGTTACAAGGATCTGACGATCAATCAAAACGAGTATTTTCAAAATAACATACGGGTGAACAAGTATAATTTACGAAAGAATTTAGAAAAGTTGGATCAACCTGTGAACAAGACTACGTGGATCATGACACCGCCAACGGTCAACGCTTATTACTGGCCAACGAAAAATCAAATGGTTTTTCCCGCTGGTATCCTTCAGAGCCCGTTCTACGATATGGAAAATCCAAACAGTTTGAATTACGGTGGTATAGGAGTCGTGATGGGACACGAATTGACTCACGCGTTCGACGATCAGGGTGAGTAGTAGAATAGACGTAGTGTGAAACCAAAAAAAAAATATATATATATATAACGATTTCGTATTTATTCGCCGTTTCGTCATTCTTAGGAAGAGAGTACGATTTGCACGGAAACTTGAATCATTGGTGGAACAATGCCACGATAGAGAGATTCAAAAATAGAACGGAGTGCTTCGTCGAGCAGTACAGTAATTTCGAGATAAATGGCCGACATGTGAACGGATTGCAGACATTGGGTTAGTCGCGTTACCATTCGCGATACGAAAAATATCGTATACAGTATTACATACACGCACACGTTGTATCGTTTTCACGTATTGTTATTACGCACCATTCATTTTTATTGCAGGGGAAAATATCGCGGATAACGGTGGTCTCAAAGCAGCGTATCACGCGTATCTCTCGATCCCAAAAAGCTACAAAGATCAGCTACCCTTGCCAGGTCTTAATTTGACGCATCGACAATTGTTCTTTCTGAATTTTGCTCAGGTAAAATTATCGTTTCATCCCCCTCCCCCCCTCGTCACTTCCTCGCTCATCGTCCTCGTTCATCGATCCCGAACGAATCTTTTCATGGAACATGAAGGGGATGATAACGTTTGTTCTCAGGTTTGGTGTTCCGCCATAATGTCCGAGGCGGTAGCCCTTCAAATCGAGAAAGACGCTCATTGCCCATCGAAATTCAGAGTGATAGGATCACTATCGAATCTACCAGAATTCGCTACGGAATTCAATTGTCCCGAAGGCTCGCGGATGAATCCGGTTCACAAGTGCGAAGTGTGGTAATGCATCTCGTTTTCCTAGAAAATCCTTTGTCCGATGATTGTCGATGCAAAAAATTGCATCGTTTCGATCCAATATTGTCGGTGTAATATACGGTATAATGTACGGTATATATCGCGAACGTTGTCAAAACTCAAGCAAACAA